CTCCATTTTGGGCGACAGAGTGAGACTCCAACTCAAAAAAAAAAAAAAAAGAATTAAAGAATGATAAGATAGTGGTATTTTATCAACATTGAGGCTTAGGCAATGTCAGGCATGTTTTACAGATAGCTAAAACTAATTGGAAGCTTAGCCTTACAGCTTAAGATTCAAATATTTAAGATCTCTATGCAGATTTCTGTACTCTATTCTTTAAATTTAGTTAATTAGTGTTGGTTTTTTTTTTTGTTGTTGTTGTTTTTTTTTTTGAGTCAAAGTCTTATTCTGTAGCCCAGGCTGCAGTGCAGTGGCACACTCAGCTACCGCAGCCTCATCCTGCTAGGCTCAGACAATCCTTTTGCCTCAGCCTTCCATGTAGCCGGAACTACAGATACGCGCCACCACGCCCCGCTCATTTTTTGATTTATTGTAGAGGTGAGGTCTCACCAAGTTGCCCAGGTTGGTCTCAAACCCCTAGATTCAGGCAATCCTCTCACCTTGGCCTTCCCAAGTGCTGGGATTATAGGCATGAGCCACCACCCCTGGCCTGACATTTATTATTAAACTAATATTTACTAGGAAGTCAGAATAAAACAGGGTTTTTTTGTTTTTTTAGATTGGAAAATATAATTTGTTTATCAATAAATTAGAGAGGAGATTCACCTCCCCAAGGTAGGAGAGGGGGACCAAAGCTTCAAAAACAATTTAAAATCTCTTCTGCTGGACACAGGATTACCAGCACTTTGGGAGGCAAAGGCAAGAGGATTGCCTGAACCCAGGGGTTCGAGACCAGCCTGGGCAATTTGGCAACGCCTTGTCTCTACAATAAATAAGAAAATTAGGCAGGTGTGGTGGTGTGCACCTGTGATTCCAGCTACTTGGAAGGCTGAGGCAGAAGGTTCACCTGAGTCCAGCAATTAAAGGCTGTGGTGGCTGTGAATGTGCCACTACACTCCAGTTTGGGCGACAGAGTGAGACTCCAACTCAAAACAACAACAAAAATCTGTTCTATAAGCACTATGTTCTATGTTCCTACCATTTTTAGCATGAAACTTAAGATAAATGCAATAGTACTACAGAAGTAGGATTTTATTACTCCAGAGTTGGCATCAGGTAACCATAAATCCTCCACCTCAATGGCAACATATTGAACCTTTTTTAAAGATTGAGTCTCAGGTACCATCCCTAAGGACATAGGCTTTGGGCCTTGTGAGGATTGGTTTTTTTTTTTTTAATTTAGTCGGACTCTCACACTGTCGCCCACGCTGTAGCACAGTGGCACACTCACGACCAAATTGCCCAGGCTGGTCACCAATTCCTTAGCTCAGGCAATCCTCACGACTTGGCCTCCCAAAGTGCTGAGATTACAGGCATGAGTCACCTTGCCTGGCCCTGATAAAGTTTGGTTTAAATTTGTTTTGTTTTTTGAGTTGGAGTTTCACTCTGTCACCCAGACTGGAGTGCAGTGGCGGCTCCCAGCCACCGCAGCCTCAACCTGCTGGACTCTGGCGATCCTTCTGCTTCAACCTTCCAAGTAGCTGGAACTACAGGCAAGCGCTACCACGCCCGGCTCAATTTGATTTATTGTAGAGATGAGGTCTCGCCAAATTGCCCAGGTGGGTCTCGAACCCGCTGGCTCAGGCAATCCACTCACCTCAGCCTCCCAAAGGAGGGGGATTACAGGCTGAGCCACCGACCCCAGCTGTTTTAACTTTGAAACAACCAATATGCCTTTTGTTTACTTTTCTACTTGCCTTGGCCCATTTTTGTCTTTAAAAACAACTTTCTAGCTGGGCACGGTGGCTCATGCCTATAATCCCAGCACTTTGGGAGGCTAAAGTGAGATGATTGCCTGAGTCCACGGGTTCGAGACCAGCCTGGGCAACTTGGTGAGACCTCATCTCTACAATAAATCAAAAAAATTAGCCGGGCACAGTGGTGCGTGCCTATAGTTCCAGCTACTTGGAAGGCTGAGGTGGAAGGATTGCTGGAGCACTCCATTCTGGGTGACAGAGTGAGACGCCAACTCAAAAAAAAAAACTTTCTCTGCTCAGCTCATCGGAACACTCAATCTGTTTTACAGAATGAGGTTACCCGATTCTAGAATCGTAAACAAAAGCCAGTTGAAATCTTTTGACAGTTCCAATACCCAGAAGTAAATTGCTAGATCGATCTATGGGCTTTTGATTTTTGAATTATGCACAGTTTCCTAACCTGTGTTCCAAGAGTTTCCTCTGCAGTTCCATTGATTTACTGATCTAGTTCTTAGAAATCTTCATTAAATTAGATCTTATTCTGACTTTGCATTTTGGCATAAATAAGTCTGGGTTAAATTCGGTATAAATAAGCTGGGGTCAGTGGCTCAGCCTGTAATCCCACGCCTTTGGGAGGCTGAGGTGAGTAGATTGCCTGAGCCTGCGGGTTCAAGACCCGCCTGGGCAACTTGGCGAGACCTCATCTCTACAATAAATCAAAAAAATTAGCTGGGCATGGTAGCGCACGCCTGTAGTCCCAGTTACTTGGAAGGCTGAGACGGAAGGATCACCGGAGCCCCCAGCATGTCGAGGCTGCGGTGGCCAGGAGCGGCCACTGCACTCCAGTCTGGGCGACAGAGTAAGACTCCAACTCAAAAAAATATATATATATTTGGTATAAATAAATCAGCCACTACTTAATGCATTTAATGACTCTGACTAGGAAAACCGTAACACACAAAGGACACAAATTAAGGATAAAAGTTGCTGGCTCTTCTTGGCCAACTGTATGATGGAGAACTGTGTCAGAGAATGAAGGAATTTCATTTTATGATATTTAAAATAAAGACTGGCCAGGCTCGGTGGCTCAGTTTGTAATCTCATGCCTTTGGGAGGCTGAGGTGGGTGGATTGCTTGAGCCCGCAGGTTCGAGACCCGCCTGGGCAACTTGGCAAGATCTCATCTCTAAAATAAATTAAAAAATCAACTGGGCGTGGTAGCGCGCACCTGTCATTCCGGCTACTCAGAAGGCTGAGGCGGAAGGATCGCCGGAGCCCAGCAGGTAGAGGCTGCAGTGGCCGAGAGCCCGCCACTGCACTCCAGTCTGGGCGACAGAGTGAGACTCCAACTCAAAAAAAAATAAAAATAAATTAAAAAATAAAATAAAGACTGGAGCCGGGCTCAGCTGCTCAGCCTGTAATCCTGTGCCTTTGGGAGGCTGAGGGGAGTGGATTGCCTGAGCCCGTGGGTTTGAGACCCGCCTGGGCAGTGAGACCTCATCTCTACAATAAATCAAAAAATCAGCCGGGCGTGGTAGCGCATGCCTGTAATTCCGGCTACTCGGAAGGCTGAGGCGGAAGGA